GGTGGGGGGCAGCCAGCAGAGCCATGCCTAGACGTGCTGGTGGCAGGGCCTTTGGTTTGGAGAATCCTGCTTATTTGCAAGAGTAGCCAAGAGAATATGTTGCTTTGAGTGTGCTTGCTGTTTTCCTACATCCAGAAGCATTTAGAGCTAAGTCAAATTCAAAGATAGAGATGAAGTGACTTGCCAAGTGGCTAGTGGGAGATCTTTTGCTGCTTGGCTTTATGACTTGCCTTGCCGATGAAATGTGAGCATGTGGAAGCTTTTAATAGCCATGTGTGGTTCATCCTTTAACCTGCCACTTCCCTGAGCCCAGCAATGCTCCATCTGCCCATGTCCTAAAGTAAAGATGATACGGACACATAGTCACAATCAACCCATAATGGATGTGTAATATGAGCAAGATATGTCAACATTTGTGTTGTAAGCCAGAGAGATTTGGGAATCGTTTGTTATCATGGCATAACCTAGTGTGTTGTGACTGATGCAAAGGCTACAACTAGAACCCAGCCTCCCCAATCTCAGTCAATGGAGATTAAATTATTATTATTTGTTTATGTATTAGTCATCTATTACTGGGTAACAAATTATTCCAAAATTTAGCAGCTTAAAGCAACATACATTTGTTAACTCACATTTTTTGTGGGTCAGGAATCTGGCTTAACTGAATTCTCACTTACCTTCTCTCCCCATCCCTGAAACACTGGCCTTCTCATGGCCTTCCACACCTTCAGATGCCTTCCTTTTAGTTCTCTCTTTCTCCACAAGAGGTGGTCCTTTTATCAACCAGCTTCTGCTGTGAAACAAACACCCATGAGGCCTCAGTGACACGCAACAATAGACATACCTTTCTCAGTCACGTGTCTGCAGCTTGGCTGGAGCAGCTCTGTCCCAGATGAAAGTGCTGCCGCTCACCTAGGGTAGCTCCGTTCCCCTTCTGTTATTTTTTTGGGGCCAATGGGCTACAAGAGGTACATTCAGCTTATGGAAATGGCAAAAGCACAAGAGGGCAAACCCCACCGCCCAAGCTCATTCCCAGCCCTTGAGAATGTAGTCTGCTAATAACTCATTGGCCAAAGCCAGTTACCTGGCCTAGCTCAAGGTTAAGGGGGGGAAGGGTGCTCCAATTGCCAGGAGGCTATGTCTGGGGTGTGAATATATACATTACTATAGAGGGATGAAGAATTGGGACCCAAAATTCAATCGAACAGTCTTACTTTTCCCTCACACCATGTTGAGGTTTCACATTTATTACTGAAACACTAGGAGTGAGGCTACAAGTGGTTAGGAGGCAGATTTTGGCCTCCAATCGTATTGGAGAGAGGCTTATATTTAAAGAGGCACAACTAGCCAGTGAATAGGACAGGGAAGTGGAGCTCTGGAGAGGGTTTTGAAACCAGAGAGAGGAGCAATCCACCCATTCCTTTCTCTGGGTCCTGGAGAGGCAACCTGGTGTCTGGCCAGGTTCTTCCCAGGGTGGGGCACACCCCACCAGCAGGCACATGGGAGGTACTTTTAGGTGACAGAGGGCGGAGGCATCACATAGCTTTGAATCAGGGACTGAGAATGCAATTCCCTTTTCAATGATCTCATGATAGTTCTGATTACAAGGAGAAAGTCTCCTTCTGGACTAGTGTGTGTCTAACGCCTCTCATACCTGCTGATCTCCCTTTGCAATAGCTCCTAAACCTCAGGTTTACGGGCTCTTTCAAGCAACAGTATCTGGCTAGAATGGACTAACACTATTTTCTTTGGGTAGTGTTTAGATTAGTATGTTTGTCTTTTATTTCTGGTGATGGCACTGGTTTCCTGTTTACCATGATGATACAGAAGTTCCTTTTAAAATAAATATAGTTACCCTGGCTGGCATGGCTCAGTTGGTTGATCGTAGTCCTGTTTGTCCAAAGGTCACCAGTTTGACTCCTGGTCAGGGCACATGACCAGGTTGTGGGTTTAGTCTTGGGGTGCATACTGGAAGTGACCGATCAATGTTTCTCTCTCACATCAATGTTTCTCTCTCCCTTCCTCTCTCTCTAAAAGCAATTAATTTTTTTTAATAAAATACAGTTAAATAAACAGTTGATTTAAAGGAAAATGGTAAGTGAAGATTAGTTCAGGTGGCATAAGGAAATGGCAGAAATAATGGCTTGGCCATGGTTAGCATTTGGTAAGTAGCTATATAATAAGAAGAGGGTGGGGTTTGCTGCAGTGGATCCAAGTTTAAATCCACACTCCATCCCTCACATAGGGCCTTTGGGCAAGTTTCTTAGGTAGCTTCTCAGAGCCTCAGTTTCTTCATGGGCTGTTGTGTTATATTGAAAGTAATGTTTATAAAGTAACTGGTACAGAGTAAGTGTTCAGCAAATGGTAAGACTGCTCCAGCCCCACCTAGATTGTGCATTCTGGGAGAGCCTTCTGGGTTTTCTTTGTCCTCTCTGTGGCTGTGAGACAGGTAGGGACCACTGTCCCTGCTGGTGGGTGGGCCCCTCCTGACCCTCCTCTGCAGAAGCCATTCTCATTCCCTTTTATACTGGACCTGAGTTCAAATCAGCACCTTCCTGTCTCCTCTGCAGCCCCAAGAAGAATCTCTTGCTTGGCAGATGAGTCTTGAGTAGCCATAGAATTTCAGAATTAAAAGACATGTGACAGGTCAGACACTGGACCTACTGGGAAACCTCAGGACCTGGGGCAGGGGGGATCCCTTTGGAGGGGGCCTCAAATCTTCTAAGGACCTCTAATTTAGACCCAGGAGGCTGTCCCCTTGGAGAGCTCCCCAACAGGATTGAGAAAGGGAATGAGAAAATATAAACACGGCCTTCCAGCTGGTCTAACAATTGAGCAACAAATTAGCATTTCTTAAAAGTGCTTCTAATTCTCATGTTAGTGGCAAAAGTCTATTGCCCTGTATTTTGGGTGTGTGCAAATAACATTAAACTGTTCAATTAAAAGCTTGAAAACATACTGTAATGTGTTGTGACCCTGTTTTGCAATTTCTTCAATTTTTTAGTACAGAGAATCTTTCTCTTCTTCTCCCCCGCCCCTTCTCACCCT